TTGTGGTACCAATAGAAAGTACGAGTAGCAATAAGAATAGTAGTCGTGGTGGTGGCAATAACCGTCAGAATCGTAGTCGTGGTCGCTGTCGCAGCAGCAATAGTAGTAGTAGTAGTAGTAGTAGTAGTAGTAGTAGTCGTCGTCGTCGTGGTAGTAGTAGTAGTAGTAGCAGTAGTCGTAGTAGTAGTAGTAGTTGTTGTTGTTGTCGTAATAGTAGTACCAGTAGTAGTAGTAGTAGCGGTAGTAGTAGTAGTAGTAGTAGTAGTAGTAGTAGTAGTAGTAGAAGTAGTAGTAGTGGTAATAGTCGTCGTCGTAGTAGTAGTAGTAGTAGTCGTAGTAGTAGTAGTAGTAGTAGTAGTAGAACTAGTAGTAGTAGTAGTAGTAGTAGTAGTAGTAGTAGTAGTCGTCGTCGTAGTAGTGGTCGCAGTAGTACGAGTGGTCGGATTATTCGCAGTTGTCCGTCTAGCATCACTAGTAGTAGTAGTAATAGTAGTAGTAGTAGTAGTAGTAGTAGTAGTAGTAGTAGTTCGGGTCGTAGTAGTAATTCCACTTAACGTAGCAGTAGCCGTAGAAGTAGAAGTAGTAGTAGTAGTGGTAGCAAAAGTAGTGGCAGTAGTAAAAGGAGTAGTAGTAGTAGTAGTAGTAGCAGTAGTAGTAGTAGTAGTAGTAGTAGTAGTAGTAGTAGTGATAGTAGTAGTCGTAGATCTAGCAAGAACAGAAATAGCAATGCCAATAATCGCTGCCTCAGCCGCACTGGTAGTAGCAGTAGCAGTAGTAGTAGTAGTAGTCGTGGTAGTAGTAGTAACAGTACTGGTAGCGATAGTAAGAGTAATAAAATTAGTAAGTGTAATACTAACAGTAGTCGCGGTAGTAGGAATAATAATCGTAGTCGTAGCCGTAATATCGTCGTAAAGTAGTAGTAGTGGTAATAGTAGTAGTAGTAGTAGTAGTAGTAATAGTAGTAGTAGTAGTAGTAGTAGTAATAGTAGTAATAGTAGTCGTAGTGGTAGTAGTGGTAGTACTAGTAGTAGTAGTAGCTGGAGTAGTCGTAGTAGTAATCTTAGATATAATAGTATTCGTAAAAGTAATAGTAGTAGTAGTAGTCGTCGTCGTCGTAGTAGTATTGGTAGTAGTAGTAATAGTAGTACCAGCAGCAGTAGCCGCAGTAGTTCTGGTAAAAGCACTAGTGGTAGTAACAGTAGTGTCAGAGATAGTTGTAGTGGTAGTAGTTGGTGTTGTTGTAGCCGTAGTCGCAGTCGCAGTCGGTGTCGTAGTCGTGATCGTAGAGGTAATATTAGCAGTAGTAAGGGTAGTGGAAAAATATTTGCAGTCGTGGTAGTAGTAGTAGTAGTAGTAGTAGCAGTAGAAGTAGTAGTAACAGTCGTAGTACTACTACGACTAGTACTAATACCAAAGTAATAGAAATAGCATCCCAGTAGTAGTAGTGGTAGTAATAATAACTTAAGTAGTATGTAGGTAGGTAGGTAGGTAGGTAGGTAGGTAGGTAGTAGTGGTAGTAGTAGTTAGAGTAGTAGAAGTAGTAGTAGTAGTAGTAGTTGTTGTAGTGGTAGTTATCAGAGTAGTAGTAGTGGATATAGTAGTAGTAGTACTACTACTACTACTACTACTACTACTACTACTACTACTACTAGTCGTAGTTGTAGTAGTAGAAGTAGTAGTAGTAGTAGTAGTAGTAGTAGTAGTAGTAGTAGTAGTAGTAGTAGTAGTAGTAGTACTAGTAGTAGTAGTAGTAGTAGTAGTAGTAGTAGTAGTAGTAGTAGTAGTAGTAGTAGTAGTAGTAGTAGTAGTAGTAGTAGTAGTAGTAGTAGTAGTAGTAGTAGTAGTAGTAGTAGTAGTAGTAGTAGTAGTAGTAGTAGTAGTAGTAGTAGTAGTAGTAGTAGTAGTAGTAGTAGTAGTAGTAGTAGTAGTAGTAGTAGTAGTAGTAGTAGTAGTAGTAGTAGTAGTAGTAGTAGTAGTAGTAGTAGTAGTAGTAGTAGTAGTAGTAGTAGTAGCAGTAGTAGTAGTAGTAGTAGTAGTAGTAGTAGTAGTTGCAGTTGCAGTAGTAGTAGTAGTCGTAGTCGTAGTAGTAGTAGGTCGGTAGCAAGGTAGGTAGGCCGGTCTGTACTAGGTAGGTCGGTAGATAGATAAGTAGCTAGGTCGTTGGCTAGGAGAGAACGCGTTTCACGGGCGCTCGCTTGGGGAACATTCGGCGGCGCGTTTCGAATCGGGGAGTGGCCCCCCCCCCAAACACTCGGCGCCGTCGATCAAAACCAGGGAGACTCCCCTCCCCCACACACCCCCCTTCCCTCCCAACCCCCTCCCCCCCCCTCCCAAGGAGGGGGGAGTTCAACCCCCCCCCCTTTCCTCGGCGCCGGCGCTGGCGCTGGCGGCCGCCAGCAGCGCCCACGGCGGGAACGCAGCGACGATGACCAGAGACAGCCCACGGGGGGGTGTCAAACCCCCCCCACCCTTGGCGCCGGGGGGGGCGGGGTTCAAACCCCCCCCAACCCTCGCGCCGGCGCCAGCGCTGGCGGCGGCCAGCAGCGCCGGCGCTGGCGCCAGCGACGGCGGGGACGCAGCGACACTTACCACCACTACCACCACCACAACCACTACCACCACCACCACCGCCTCAACCCACCACCACCACCACCAACAGCACCACACAACCACCACCACCACCACCACAGCCACCACCACCACCACAACCACCACCACCACAACTCACCATCACCACCACCACAAAAACACACCACCACTACCACCAC